GTGTGTGTGTGTGTGTGTGTGTGTGTGTGTGTGTGTGTCATACCGGCTATCCTGCCCTATCAATGCCGAGTGTGAAATGTGTCTGCATGTCTCCAGTAGAGGTTTCTGACGGTGAAAACCAAGTAGAGGGAGCCCAGTGAGTGGACAGCTGTGCAGATTAACTCCTGTCCTGTGAAAATTGGGTGATTAGATAAAATGAAGCTCATGCAATGCTCAAGCAGTAGACCACAACCGCTGCTCACTTCATTTGGCATTGCATGGTTTCTGCCACAAGCCTAATAAGTAATTATCTTAAATATACGATGCAGTGTTTCACTGCAGCGATACTTAAATCAAATCAATCTGTTTTTCAAGCATAGTTTGGATATAAATATCATTATGTCATCAGAACAGGAGTATGGATGAGAGGCAGTCTCCCCTTTCCGCCTCTTTCATTGAATTGTCTCTCCAGGTCGTCATTGTTATGCTTCAAGGCCAATTATTCTTTCTATAAATCAGGGAATCTGGCACAAGTAAAAGGCTGCATATTTGATAACAGGCACACCTGTTCAGAGATGGGTTGAATAACTAACTGATTAAATCCGTTGGATCTGTGTCTCTGACATCACAACTAATCTCTGGAATGAGTGGAAAAAATCCAATCTGTCTCTTTCCTGAATTATGTCACCCTGAATAAAAGTCTTTTGATCTTCTCTTTGAATGAGTCACAACCTTACATGTCTTCGGGAGAAACGCTTTATCAACAACTCAGCAAATTCGCACAGTGATAGACATGTCCTCTGGGCTCACAGCTCATTGCCTCTTACTCATGCAAACAACTTTCAAACCAAGCCAGATCTTGCCTAAAATAAATTTGCAAATTCCTTTTGATTAAAAGTTGATTCAAATCATAACATTGTCCTATCAATAAATAAATAAATGAAAAAACATTCAAGTTGCTTCTTAGCAGAAATGTAGTAAAAGCAGAGAGCTTTCTTTTTCGCTATGTAACTTTATATTAGTCTGAACTGATTTAAAATTTAATCTCGTGGCTGGCACACGACTTGTTTGCACTATTTTACTTAATCTCCTGAAAATAGAGCCTTTGGTTTAATAGCTGATTTGGGGATAAAATAGATCATTTGGACTATAATTGAGTAATATAGCTTATTAAAATATGTGTATTTTTTTTTTAACATTATAGACAGTCCTGTGGTGCTGTGCACTGTTGCCTCACATCTAGGGTGTACTGGGTTTGAATCCACAAGCTTACTTTACTTTACTTTACTAAGCTACTTTGGGAAGGTTGTATGTTCTCCCTGCCTATGTATGGGCTGTCTCTGGGAACTCCGGCTTCCTCTCGCACTCCATGAATATGAGCGTTAATGGTTTTCTGTCTCCCTGCGTGTCAGCCTCACGACAGACTACCGATCTGTCCAGGGTGTACCCTTCCTTTAGCTCTAATGACAGCTGGGATAGATCCCAGCTTCCTTGGGGTTAAGAAAATGGATGGATGGATATATTTTTATGAAATTCACTTGGCAGATGTTGTTAATAATGCAGCATTATCTGCTTTTAGCTTCGGCCCTTTTTAGTTATTTAGTTTTTTCACTGAAATATCATTCATTTATATTACACACATGATGTAGAGGTAGTGGTGTAGTCAATGAGTGTGTCAAGGGCACGTTACTGTTCACATTTTGTGATTTGTGGAGTTTACAGACAGATTGCAAATGACATTAACACCAATTCACAGATTAATGCGAACTTAAACACTTTTTTTGTCCAGTTCGTGATGACTTGAAGAGCTGTTTAGGACGGACGACTTGATCATTAAAGTTACAAAAAATTTTAAGTTACTTTAGAGCTTCAAAAGCTTCCTGTTTTGCTGTTTGTGCCAGTCTCACAACTGCCATCACACTCTATTAAAATCACTGACGATTTAGGGGAAATCTCAAACTTATTACTGGTCCACCTCCACAAATGGAGCTTTCACTGCTGCTGCATGCTGTGCATTTTTTGTTGAATGGTCTCACTTGGCGGTTTGATTTCTTGAAGTCTGTGACAGATGGATGTGTGTGTGGTTTTGCTGCTTTTGGTGTGATGCCGTTAGAGACTGAAAAATATATTTGGGAAACACTGTATTTGTAAAGTTATGTTTTTATTAAATTAGATTGTACTCATATTTAAATGAATCAAATTAGAATACTATTGAAATATATATCTATTACTTTTTTACTACTTAAAATGTTGAAATAACTACCACGTCTTCTCCTGGAGTTGAAATGAAAAGCTTAGTACCCCAGATTTTCTGTGTGTGTGTTTTCATATGTGTGTGTTTGTGTTTGGGCTCAATAGAGGAACCAGGTCAGGGGGAATGACAGCACTGGAGATGGTGTTATTGACAAAAATGTTGTTAAGATTCAAAGCCTGAAGGCTCAGCGAGTACAGTAATTCCACAAGACTTAACCGATGATTCTTTCTGCTGACCAGACCGGGCTGGAAGCTAGTATACTGTGAAGACATTTAAAATAGGAATGAACTTATGAATTGCTCTAAAAGTCTTTGGAGTGTTTGCACATCTTAAAATATGAATCACCCTCTCAGAAGACTTTAATTATATCTGTTTAATTTAATTGTAAGCAAATTAATTATATTTCGCCTCTGAAAACTACTTTTTTATTGCTTGTTAAAGTTAAGACCTGCACTCAGTCTTATCTGCTGTCTCAGTTTCCACTCAGTCGATTACCCAATGTCTGAGACGTGGAGAGTGAGTCATATGGCAGACTGCGGGATTCAATGGAACTTCTTAGGATGTCATATACTATGCTATCATTTGACGTCCAGCTCTGTTTACTGCCAGTCAGGAGATGGAGGTGGGACAGAAATAACGGGTGGTAATATTTTATGTGATCTTTGGCTGCCTGCGCGAGGCAAATGATCTCTACTGAAGCATGTAATGTGCACAGGTCTTCTACTGTCATGTAATGGGATGGAGGGGATTAAAAAGGGCTAAATGGAAGTGCCTGCAAAGGGAATGGCCAGGTGACTTTGTTAGCCCCTGCAGCACACTCCACTGTTGCTGTGATGTATTGTGAAATTATTGCGACCTTCCTGCCAGTCACACATGTTGAAATATATCTAGGGGTGAGGTCCTGAAAGGGATAATGGCTTACCTTTTTTACATTTTACTCTACAAACATCGAAGTATTTGTGATAAAAATTGTGGATAAATGGACTTTTGAGATCCACGGGAGTTGTTTTGTTTGTAATTGGTAGCCCCAGGCTTTGAGTGTATATGTTGCTAACGTAATGTAAATGTGTCCCACTGAGAAGCGGAGGGGGGCACTAACAGGCAAAAAAATAAATAAAAAAAATCCAAACAATCATCATTTTTCTCATGGCAGAGAAGAATTCTCGCTGTCTGCATCCCTATGTCATCAATCATACTTATGGATGCCAAAATGGCCTCATGATGGGCTCTCTCTGCGGGTCTTTCCTGTGAGAGCTGCAGGAAACTGTGTCCTGCAAGTCTTTTAGGGTTGCAGCGCTAAAAGCATAACACCACCAGAATCAAAGTACATCAAAATAAATTTAAGAAATGGAAATTTCTAAAAGTTTTTTATGCAGAATGCACAAAAGTACAAACTCCTGGCCCTGAAGTGGATTAACACACAGTTGTTGTTGTTTTTAAGTGTTAGCCTTATACTGTCATGGTCCTGGGTCAGTGACCCAGCGCTTTGAGTTTGTTATTATCATTTTTCTAGTTTATTCTGATTTCGTATTTGTTCTTAGGGTTGTGTGTTTCTATCATCCCTACCTGTGTCTCTCCTCTGTGTTCTGTTCGTGTCCCCAGTTGGTTGTGTAAAACAGTCTGTGTGTTTCCTGTTTTACTTTGTAGGTTTGTGTCTCGTTATGTCCATTAGTTCCAGCTGTGTCCCCGCCTGTCTGCCTTTTCCTAATTACCTGGTGTATGTATTTATAGTGCGTGTCTGCCTGTGCTCCTCGTCGCGTCGTCTGTGTTCGTTCCCTGTGTTCATTTATGTATCTGCCGTGTATTTAATGTTATTCCGTGTTTCTCCGCGTCTCTCTGCTCCTCGCTCCATGTCCTCCTTTTGTATTACCTTTTCCAGTTTAGGTTTATGTTCAGTTCTGCCCACACCTTGGTTATTTGAGCACTGTAAATAAAACCCACTTGCACCTCCGCCACTGTCTGCTTTTGGATCCTCCTTCCTCACCTCCACACGACTGCCGCCCCAGCCGTGACATATACATAAGTTTTAATACTTTATAAGCTTAACACTTAAAACAGACAAAACGTACTCCAAGTGCAACTCAAATGTGCTGTAAATGTGGAGACAAAAAAAGGTGATGAGCAATGT